ATTATATATATATATATATATATATATATATATATATTGAAAAAGTGAGGTCGTGACTAGAAAACTACCATCGCACCTAACCAGAACCGATGGAAAAACATGTTTCAACAGCAATTTTTTTGAGAAAAACTATCAAAATGCATTTTTCATAAACAAACAAAACTATTATGTGGTGCTGCACAGCCACTGCATCGCTCACCAAACGGACCCTAAACTTGGGCTCAAATAATCCTCCATGAGGGCTATTTCAACCTTAATTTAGACTGTCTAAAGACTAGTTTGATACTTCTATAAATTTTGGGACTAAAATAACCCCACATAAATAGTCAGGAAATTATTGTCACTTTACTCAATTCATAAATAATCAATCACATTTAAAACATAAATAAATAACTCATCAATTAGTGCAGCATTTATTGATGTATGATAATTGCATCAAAACTTATTTGCTCAGCACAATCAAAACCAATACAAAAAACAAAAAATAAATTTACATAAAAACCCAAATTTAATCAATCCTAAGTCAAAAGGCAGCCATAAGACCTATTCCTAACTCCTCAGCAAGCTCATCCCACACTGGAAGAAGAGTAAAAACAACAAGAGAAATAGTTGCCACCAAAGCAAGTTGTCTCAATTTTCCAATGTCTGAAACATCATTTAAGCAAGGCTTCTCTGGCGTTCTCTGTGGAACATATAGGTAAAAAAAAAAAAAAATTAGGGGCATTTACATAAATACCCACCCAATTCCTAATGTATGTACATATATGACAGCTAAAGTCTATTTTTTACATTTATATCACCCCAAGTCCCCATTTTAACTTCTAAAAAGTGATAGGTAAGGTGATATGCAAGTAAAAATTAAAGTTTCGGTCCAAGATATGTAAATACATATATAACACCTAAACTTTATTTTTTACATTTATATCACCCAAATCCTTGTATCACATCAAAAATATTACCATTTTAACTTTTAAAAAGTGAAATGCACTTCTGCATGCAAAGGTAAGGTGATATTTAACTAAAAAAAATCAAAGATTCACTTAGTTATACATGGGACTTGAAGAGTAGGTATGTAAATCTATAGACTATTTAAGAAGCATTTTTTAATGATTATGTCATTTGTTGGGGTTACAATACCTGGCATATTAGCACATACAAGCCCCATGGGAGTGACAAGGGTCCACCAATCTAAGAAAGACAAGAAAAATATCATACTCATATTTCGAAAGCGTAAATGAGTATAACGTCCTCTAGATTACTTTGGGTGCATTAATTTGGTCTCGGATTCTTCTTATCATCCAATTTAATCCCTCAACTGATCAAGTTGTAGTTTTAGGGTCCATTTGGGGCGGCTATGAGGTGGCAATGCAGCACTGCACTGCAGTTTTGTCAGCTTAGATAAACTACATTTTGACAGCTTTTTCAAAAAATTGCCGCTGAAACCTGTGTTTTCCAACTACTCTTGGCTAGATGCGGTGGCAGTTTTCTAGCTGTGGCCTGACTTTAAAAAAAATGTAATAGGCACCGCAGTTTTTCTAAGCACCAGATTATTATTCATTAGCTTCACAGTTGCTTTTTAATAAGCTACAACTGCCCCAAAGAGACCTTAATTATTTCATCAGCCCAGAAGTCAACTAATGTCGTTGCGGGGAAATTGCGTTGATGGTATTGCCAATTTTTTATGCTTGAAAGGTCAAACTTGCCTTAAATAAGGACTCGCAAGACCAATTTCTTTGAAAAAAGCATCAACATAGTCCCTGTGCTATTTTTAAGGAGCCATTTTAGTCCCACACTATATAAAAGGTATGATTCAGTAAACGGACTCTTAAAGTAGAACTCAAAACGAATACACCGTTAGAAGGAGCAATAGAAATGGAAGTTGTTAAAAATGAGACTGTTGTATACAAAATCTTGTTTAAGATATAATTGATCGGCAACATTCCCAATATATCTTACTTCATTCCTGCATGCTCTATAATAAAATTAATACATAATATATTTATTAAATTTATAAATTATTATTGACAAATTTACCATAAAATGTCACAAACTTTAATGAAGTAGAAGACCAATCAATGGAGCCAAAATGATAAATAGAGGAGGAATGCAGTGAGTACATGAGATATGTAGAAGCATACCAGTCCTAGTCCAAGCATCAAGTATGTTGCCAAGCCGAAAGCAAAGAGCGCGTTTTTTCCAAAAGCCCCCTGGCATAAGTAAAAAAGACACAAGTCCCAGGTGAGAGAATTACATCTAGGATATATTTAGTTGATTGTAAATGGAAAGCATGCTATAGAGAATTAAGATTTTAATTGCACTAATTTTGTGTGTGAAAAATAAAATTGTTCTATTTGAGGGAGCTTTAAGTGGTTTGTAGAATTTGAAATCAATATTAATTTTTAGATAAAGTTGCATACATATGGCACAATTCTTATGTATTTACATATCTAACCCACAAAATTTGATATTTATACTTTTCTTATAAAACTATCATGTCAAACAGCACAACTTGAATGTAAAAAAGACGAGAAGTCCATATGATGAAAATAACAAAAACCATCAATTGAACGAACTATACTATCCTTAACGGTGAAGACAATTTTGGTTCATTCTCAATCTTAAAAAAGAAGATTTACAAACATACCACTCAATTCATATGTATTTACATATCTAACACCTGAACTTCAATTTTAACATACATGCACCTTACCTTTGCATGAAAAGGTGTATTTCATTTTCTTTAAGTTAAAACAGTGGTATTTGATATGATATTAAAGACCACGGTGATGTAAATGTAAAAGATAAAGTTTAGGTGTTAGATATGTAAATACATAGGAATTGGGTGGTATATATGTAAATGTCCCCCAGAAAAAAAAGGATAACGATACCTGTACCGCCCTTCCACCATCAAGACATCCTACAGGAAGCATATTGAAGGCCGAAGTCGTCAAGCCACACCTGAACCAAGCGCATATGGACCCAGAAGGTATAATCAAATTCAAAATGAAATTTATGAAATTACACTCACCATCCACCAATTACAAGAGGATGGATTGAAACAGTGGCAGCATGCATGGCTCTGCAAATATTAAAGAGTTATGAGCCTATCTGAACAAATCTTGATAATGAAAAATGTGAAGCAGAAGTAAATAAGTTTTCCTCAGGCACAAAGTAAGAACCCGTAGAACAGCAAATGGTGGAATCACTTGAATAAATGAAGAAATATTTACATACATACCACTCAATTCCTAAGTATTTACATATCTAACACCTAAACTTCAAATTTTACATATACACACCAACTTACCCATGCATGAAAAGGTGTATTTCACTTTTAAAAAGTTAAAATCATGATATTTTTGGCGTGCTATGAAAGATTTAGGTGGTATAAATGTAAAAAAGTAAAATTTTGATAATTAGGAATTTTTTCTATCAAACACAATTCGACCATAAGATAAGCTAAGAAAATCACCAAAGTTCTATTAGATTTATATGCATTCAATAATTCACTAGATTGCTTTAACAGTAGTTAAAAAGAAAAATAAAAATAAAATAAAATAATTAAAAATAAAGCTTGTGAAAAAATGCCTTTTTTCTATCCTTGATCATTTCACACCTATAATAAATTACAGCTAATTTAAGTCATTTGAATAACTCTGCCCTGCAATTTCTGTAAATAATTAACCTTTAGCAAATCCTACATAGAAAATGGGAAAAGAGCGATTTATATGGGATTTGCTAAAAGATAGGGGCCTTTACATAGATAACAGCCAATTCTTGTGTATTTACATATCTATAACATCTAAATTTTACTTTTACATTTATACCACCCAAATCTTTCATATCACATAAAAAAACATCACTATTTCAACTTCTAAAAAGTTAAATACATCTTTTCATGCATAAGGTGGCATGTATGTAAAAATTGAAGTTTAGGTGCTAGATGTGTTAATATATAGAAATTGAATGGTATGTATGTAAATCTTCATAAAAGATATAAATCCAACGTTCTGTTTCATTTGATAAGTTTGGAAGATTTAGACGCTGCATTGGCATCTACCAGACACAATAACAAACGTAAAAAAAATACCGCAAAACCTCTCAATAATATGTAAAAAAACGAAAAATAAATAAACAAATTATCGAAGGGGGATTTACATACATAACACCCAACTCCTATGTATTTACATATCTAACACCTAAACTTCTTTTTACATTTTTACCACCCAAATCTTTCATATCACAAAAAAAGCACTATTTTAACTTTTAAAAAGTGAAATACACCCTTTTAAGCCTACGTAAAGCCTCTCGATTATATGTAAAAAAAAAAGAAAAAGAAATAAACAAATTAAAGAAGGGGCATTTACATACCACCCAATTCCTATGTATTTACATATCAAGCACTTAAACATTACTTTTTTATAGTTTTACCATCTAAATCTTTCATATCAAATCAAAAATAGCACTACTATGACTTTTAAAAGTGAAACACTCTTTTTTAAGCCTAGTTAAGGTGGCATGTATGTAAAAATTGAAGTTTAGGTGCTAGATATGTAAATATATAAGAATTCAGTGATATGTATGTAAATCTTCCATTAATGAAACAAGAGAGAAAAGAAAAGAAAATAGAAAAATAAACATACGTGTAACCGAGAGTTGCTCGGCTGATGAGTCCAAGGAGAAGTGAGCCCCGGAAAAGCATACTAGGTACTTCAACCAAATCACCTGCAGCTGCTGGATTTGACGAAAGCAATAAGCCGACACAAAACATCGAAAAGGAGAATGCAGCACCAGCCAATGGACCAGCCATGGAAATGTCAAACTTCGCCTTCCGATTGGGAAGAATAGACTTAAACTACCAAAGGAATTACAAGTAATAAGAAATAAATCTCCTGGCTGACAAATATAAATACACTTCTCCTATTGAATCAAATGAAAATGTATTGAAACTTATGATATGTATGTAATATGCAAATGACAGGAATTTACAAAATGAATAATGGGCATTTATACATATACTACCCAATTCCTATGTATTCACATGTCTAACACTTAAACTTTACTTTTTATATTTATACCACCCAAATCTTTCATATCTCATCAAAATACCACTACTTCAACTTTTAAAAAGTGAAATGCACTTTTTTCATCCATAGGTAAGGTGGCATATATGTAAAAGATAAAGTTTATGCGCTAGATGTGTAAATAAATAGGGATTGGTATGGTTTGTTGAAAGCCCTTGCACATATTTGGTAAAAGCCTTAGTAACATATAACATTAATGTAATAATTAAGTAGAAAAATTTTATCTATCATGTCCTGGAAGAGGTCTTCATGTGAAGAATTACCCTTGGATAAAGAAAAATTGGGCTATTGTTGAATCATTTTAGGATGTAGAGTCCCTTACCATTGATATGCATCAATTTTACGTGATTTTACTCGTTATTTTCCCTACATTTTACAGGTTAATTTTATTTATTTATCACAGAAATACGTTTGAGAAATGTATTTTGTTCATGTTGTGCTGGATGTAGGAATTGAATACGAACAAGTTGGAACGAGAAAAACCAGTGGAAAAATGCCACGAGGCGACGTGACCACGTCTAAAGACGGTGTGGTGTGACCACGCCACTTATGAAACATTGCCAGTGTGAACATGTTGAAAATGGCGTGACCAGGCCATATGGTGCAGTAGAGCGGCGTGACAACGGCAGAAACGGGCTTGACTAAGCTTAAAAGTGGGAAACATTTTAGGAAGGAAAATTGATTGCCCAAACTGTGATTCTTGCTATAAAATCAAATTCTAGGGCAGTTTGGAGGGAGTTCTGCATCAAAGAAGACTTGTAAGCTGAAAGAAGAGATTTTAGGGAGAGATTCAAAGGGATCTCTTAAGGGTTGTCTTCCTCCCGGGTAGAAACCTTTAAGGGAGAGTTTTTCTTTATTTTCTGAATTGTGAGAGAGTTTTTATGAGGGAAATGTGCTGATTTTGTAGAGGAAACAATTTCTTGTAAGTTTTTCATATTTATGTTTCTTGCAACAGATTTTCATATGGAGTTTTTTGCTATGATTTTCTCCATAATGAACGACTAAGCTTTTTTTTGTCTCTGTGTTGTAGGGAGTAGTGGAATTATTGTGGATTTCTGAAATGTTTTTTCGTTAATCGTTTGCTTGTGCTTTCATGGCCTATGCTATTGGTTAATCTTCGAGCTTAATTTACACTTAGTCTGACCAATTAAGAAATTAAAATATTTCGTGAAACTACGTCCTCTAAACGTTGCATAGTGAAAGAGTTAACCACAAAATTCCGAGAGAATAAATATATTTCAGTGAAATTCCATAATCATCCCAGGGAATCAGAAAAGTCATGTGGAATGTCATAGGGATTGAGAAAGTCTAAACTTTATGGATTCCAGGCTTATTTTAACCTAGATATAGACATAAGAAGTACAATGTCCCGAATTGACAACAATGAAGTAGAAAATCATTCAGGAAAAATTATGATTGGCATGATCCCCGAATCACAGAGACACGGGTCTCATCTATCTTGAAGGAACTCACGAACTACCCTCCTGTTTTCTGCTTTTATTTTAATTGCTAAGTACTCACTTTGCTAGGACCTTATGAATTAAAACCTCCTTATGACAAATACTAAGCTAGGTTAACTAAATTAGTAAAGTAGAGATTTTCTAAGAAAATAAATATTACACTTTTCATATGAGATCGATATGTCGTACTCTTGAACCACATTACTACTTGGCACGTGCACTTGAGTTGTACGACCGACTGATGTCCTGGTAAGTTTTAGGGCGTCAATTATCTGTGAATTCATACAATCTGGGAGAGACATTGTGAAAGAGGTAGAAAAGAACAGAGGATTTTAGAGTGTGTGTGTTCCCTCCCCCTCCCACCTATTTATATCTTCCACAATGAACTTGCCCTCATAGGGCTACAAATAATAAACAAATGTTACGTTATATATTGTGTTGTACGGAGCCTATTAAGACTCGCAGTTGGTAAGTTCCTAGGCGTAGATGTCATGCGATCAATAAATAAGCGATGACGAAGCGAAGTTTTCCTTTCTTCTGTCATAAAGGACTATTCAATAAACTTGATGATGTAGATTCATGGATACAGACAAGATCAGTCGGAGAGCTCATTAGAAGAGCTCGAGGAGCATGGGCGAGCTAGGTCAGATAAGCTCGCTTGAATACCCAACATTGGCGAGTTAAGTTAGAGGAACTCACATAGACACTGACGCGCCCGACAGAGAAGGCCGCAATCCTTCTGAGAGGCAAACTTGATAGTTGTCACCTCCAAGGATGTCATGCGATCAATAACTAGGCGATGATCAAATGAAGTTTTCCTTCCTTCTTTCATAAAGAACTATTCAACAAACTTAATGACGTAGATTGATGGATACAAACAAGATCAGTCAGAGAGCTCATTAGAAGAGCTCAACGAACATGGGCGAGCTAGGTCAGAGAAGCTTGCTTGAATACCCAACATTGGCGAGTTAAGTTAGAGGAACTCGCGCAAACACTGACGCGCCTGACAGAGAAAACCATAATCCTTTTGAGGCAAGCTTGGTAGTTGTCACGTCCAAGGTTATAACTAGCATGTACCGGAACGTCACTGCTCCAAGTATGTGATAAATGGTGTACAACCATCAATATATATATAGATACATAGATAGGTATGTATATATATATATATATATATA